CCTGTTTCTATTTTGTGGAATAATTTATGGGGTATTAGTATTAGCTTTTTTTTTTGAAATTCTGGTAGAAGTTTGTGATAAAACTCTCTGACCCTGGACATTTTTTAGTTGAGAGACTTTTGATGAAAGTTTCTATTTCCTTAGGGGCTATAAGTCTATTTAAATTGTTTTTATGTTGTTGATTTAATTTTGGTATGTAGTACCTATCTAGAAAATTGTCCATTTCCTTTAAATTTTGTAATTTTGTGGAATACAAGTTTTGAAGTATGACTTGATGATCCTTTGGTTTTTCTCAGTGTCTGTTGTTATATTCCCCCTTTCACTTCTGATCTTGTTAATTTGGATATTCTCACTCTGCCCTTTGGTTAGTTTGGATAAACATTTGCCTAGATTGTTGATTATCTCAAAGAATCAACTCTTTGCCTCATTGGCTCTTTATATTTTTTTGTTTCTGTTTTATTGATTTTAGTCCTCAAACATGCTCCTCCTGGGAGAGTCTGCTTCTCTGTCATTCTACCTCTTTCAGGTATGCTGTTAAGTCACTAGCGTGAGATTTCTTCACTTTCTTTATGTAGGTATTTATTGCTATGAACTTTCCTCTTAGTACTGCTTTCAGAGTGTCCCAAAAGTTTGGGTATGTTGTGCTTTTTTATTGAATTCTAGGAAGTCTTTAATTTCTTTCTTTCTTTCTTCCTTTATTGATCTAGGGGTGATTCGATTGATCATTGTTCAATTTCAATTAGTTTGCGGGTTTTCTGCAATTAGTGCTGCTGTTGAATTCTATCTTTTTAAGTCATGGATGGTGATCCAATAAGATACATGGATTATTCCAAATTTTTTCTATCTGTTAAGGTTTGCTTTGTTACCAACTATGTGGTCGATTTTAGAGAAGCTTCCATGCAGTGCTGAGAAGAAGGTATATTCTTTTTGTATTTGAGTAAAATGTTCTATAGACATCTATTAAACCCATTTGAGTCAAACATCTATTAGTTCCTTTACTTCTCTGTTAAGCTTCTGTCTGGCAGTCCTGTCCACTGGTGAGAGTAGGTTTTTAATTGAATTTCTCACTATCAGTGTGTGGGTTTTGATGAGCTATTTAAGCTTAGTAATGTTTCTTTTATAAAGGTGTGTACCTGGTATTTGGGGCACAGATGTTCATGACTGAGACTTAATTATGATGGATTTTTCCTGTGATAAGTATGAAATGTCCTTCTTTATCTCTTTTAATTAATTTTAATTTGAAGTCTATTTTGTTAGATATTAGGATAGCTATACCAGCTTGATTCTTAGGTCCATTTTATTGGAAAATCTTTTCCCAAAACTTTACTCTGAGGTAATGTCTATCTTTGAAGTTGAGGTATCTGTTTTGTATTCAGCAGAAAGATGGTGCCTGTTTTTGTATCCATTCTGTTAGCCTGTGTCTTTTTATAAGCACATTGACACCATTGCTATTAAGAGATATTTATGACCAGTGATTGTCATTTCCTGTTATTTTTTTATTTTGTAGATGGTGGTTGTACTATGTGTGTGTTTTCCTTCTTTGGGTTTTGCTGGTGTGGGATTGTTCTATAGCCTGTGTTTGTTAGGTACAGTTAGCTTCCTTGGATTGGAGTTTTCCTTCTAGTTCTTTCTGTGGGGCTGGATTTTGCAATTGGTATTGTTTAAATCTGGTTTTGTCATTGAATATCTTGTTTTCTCCATCTGTGTTGATTGAAAGCTTTGCTAGGTATACTAGTGTAGGCTGGCATCAGTTGATCTTAGTGTTTGCAGAACATCTATCCAGGACCTTTTGATTTTCAGAGTTTCCATTGAGAAGTTGAGTATAATTCTGGTAGGTCTGCCTTTGTATTTTACTTGACCCCCTTTTTTTGTAGCTCTTAATATTCTTACTTTATTCTGTATGTTTAGTGTTTTGATTATTATGTGGTGAGTGTACATTTATTTTAGTCCATTATATTTGGAGTTCTGAAAACTTCTTTTCCTTTCATAGTCATGTTCTTCTTTAGGTTGGGAAAGTTTTCTTCCAGATTTTGTTGAATATACTTTCTGAGTCTTTGAAAAAGACTTCTCCTTCTGTCAGTATTATTCTTAGGTTTGATCTTTTCATATGTTGCAGATTTCTTGGATGTTTGTGTTAAGAATTGGTTTGATTTAACAATTTTTTGACCAATGAATCTGTTTCCTCTACCATATCTTCAGTGTATAAGATTCTTTTTTTCATCTCTTGTTCTCTGTTGGTCATGCCTTCATCTGTAGTTTCTGATGGTTTACCCAGATTTTCCTTTTTCAGAATTCCCTCAGTTCATGTTTTCTCTATTGCTTCTATTTCAGTTTTCAAGTCTTGAACCATTTCCTTTGCCTGTTTTTGTTGTTGTTGTTGTTTGTTGTTTGTTTTTGTTTTTGGCTTTCTTTAAGGAATTTGATGATTTATTGAAAAGTTTTGTTTGTCTTTTCCTCCATTTTAAGGGAATTTTTTCATTTTCTCCTCTAAACATCTCTATTATCTTCATAATGTTATTTTTAAGGTCATTTTCTTCTGTTTCATCTGTGTTGGGATGTTGATGGAGAGGGCTACTTGTTTGTCCTGGTCCCCCAGCTAGCTTACACCCAAAATAACCACATAGAAACTGTGTTAATTAAATTACTGCTTGGCCATTAGCTCTAGCCTCCTATTGGATAACTCTCACATTTTGATTTAACACATTTCTATGTGTTCTCCACGAGGTCATGGCTTACCAGGAAGGATTTAGAATGTCTGACCTGGTATCTCCATGGTGGCTCTCTAACTCTGCTTTCTTCCTCCCAGAATTCAGTACTGTATTCTCCGCCTACCTAAGTTCTGCCCTATCAGGTCAAGCAGTTTGTTTTTTTTTTTATTGATTAACCAATGAAAGCAACACATAAACAGAAGGACCTCCTACACTGTGATGTTCAGGTCTTGTTGATGTAGAAACACTAGTTTCTGATGTTGCCATATTGCTCGTTATATTCTAAATGTATTCTTACACTGTCATCTACCCATCTCTTCTCTCAATGGGTGCAAGAAGGGCCTGTGCTTCAGGAGATCCCTCTCCCTCCAATTGGTTTGGGTGAAGCCTGTAGCTTCTTCCAGGAACACGTGGGCTGTGCCTCCGGTGGTCACTGCTATAGCTCTGGGGTCTCCTCTCCAGGAACAGTCACGACCAAGGTTCCAGTGGGAACTGTTATCGGGTGTAGGGATTTTGCTCTAGAGTCTCTGGGATTTGGGAGGTTAAGGTGAGGCATGGGATTTGCCTAGAGAGAAGGACTCTCAACCAGGAATCCAGACATTCACCTCTCCAGGGACAGTCAGTTCCAAGAATCCAGACGCAGTATCACTGAAGCAGTTCAGGATGGTTACAGGTGTGGGGAGGCTGCTCCGGGGTCTCTGGGACTTGGTGGGTGGAGGTGAGGTGCAGGATGTCTCCCCATGGGCCAACTGGGAACCCAGACATGCACATTTTCAAGGGTAGCCAGGGCTAAGGCTCCAGTGGTCACAGATGCAGTGGGGTATGATTGCCTATATATGATGTCCTTAAAGGTACAAATTATTTTTATTTTAAATTACACCCAACCAATTATTTTATTTATTTATTGCTGTAGCCTCCAATTGTGGAAACTTATCTAGGAAACTATCACCAATTTCATGGGCATGAAGTTCTAGAACTGCGGTTTTCTTTCAAATGCTATTTTTATATAAAATATTTACATATACCATCCATTTTTAATTAACTTTTTCATAATATGAAGAGGTACATATTAACTATTTAAATTATAACTTCATCTAATTGCCCATATATTGGAAAACCATTATTTCTACACTAAATTATTATTAAACACATAATTTTAATAATCTGTAGATGTATTTTTTTACAGATTGCCCTTTCCTTATGTCTAACAATACATCTATATTATGAGCATATTATATGGTTGTGGTATATTTTCAATTGGGAGGGAACTTGAAACTTTAAATTCCTTTCTTTCCTTCAGGTTTGTTCTAATTATTCCCAGACCCTTCTATTTTGTGGAGATTTATAATCATTATGTCATTACTGATAATAAAAATATCAGATTAGGATTACACTGAGCTTTTAGACTAGTTTGGGAGTTACTGCCATTTCACAATATTCAGTCTTGTGATTCATGAAGATGGGATGTCTTTCCATGTATTTAATGATTTGTCCCTTTGACAGTGTTGATAATTTCAAATGCAATGTCTTATATATCTTTATTTCTTTGTGATTTAATATTTTTTCATATTTTAAATGGATTTTTATGATTGCTGAATTTTCTTGATGATTTCAGATTCCACTTCCATGATGTCCTTTTAAATAAATTACAGTGCTTCTTTCTTACAGATTTTTTGGAATTTTCTATATACAAAATAAATTCATATACATGTAAAGGTAGTTTTATTATTATTTACATTCCAATTCAGATGCCTTTTGATTTTGTGTTCCTACCTGATTGCCTTAATGTTAACTTCAACTATAATGTTGGTTAAAGAGAGAGAATAATAATTACACTGTTCATAATCTTATGAAGAAAACCTTTAGATTACCACCATTACATATGGGATGGGTTGTGTATGTGCCTGCTAGTATTTTGTCTTTGGGTGAATGCTGCTCTTATTATAACAAGAAAAAGTTTTCTCTTTGTGTAGTGATTGGGAGACCTGCAAATGAGTCATGAAAAGTCCTTAGTAGATTCTATCATTGAATGCATCAGATCTCTCCTTGGTTATCTATGGCCTGAGTACTCCCATTTTCATGGCAGAATTCACAAACAGGAACAGATGTGCCATATGTTTAATTACTAGTGCCATTTGTTGGTACTTAGTGACTAACATGTAGCAGTAGTTGTCAGAAAATTAAAGATGCTTGGCCAAATGTTAACTTGAATTCTCTTTCACACCTCAGTATATAGTATAACAGATATTTACCTCATTTTCCCTTCTTTCTACATAGAACTTCCAGAAGAAAATGTTACAAGCAAATCTTTCCAGAGTGACTGAATTCATTCTTGCTGGGTTAACAGACAAACCAGAGTTCCAGCTGCCCCTCTTCCTCCTCTTTCTAGGAATCTATGTGGCTACAGTGGTGGGAAATCTTGGCATGATCACCCTGATACAATTCAGTTCTCACTTGCACACACCCATGTACTTCTTGCTCAGCAGTCTATCCTTAATTGACCTCTGCCAGTCTACTGTGATTACCCCCAAAATGCTGGTGAACTTTGTAACAGTAAAGAACATCATCTCCTACCCTGAATGCATGACTCAGCTCTACTTCTTTATTGTTTTTGCAATTGCAGAGGCTCACATGCTATCAGCAATGGCTTATGACCGCTATGTTGCCATATGCAACCCACTGTTTTACAATGTTACAATGTCCTATCAAGTCTGTTTCTGGATGATATTTGGGGTGTATGGTATTAGTTTGATCGGTGCCACAACTCACACAATCTGCATGCTAAGAGTGCATTTCTGTAAGGCTGATGTAGTAAACCATTACTTCTGTGATCTCTTTCCACTCTTGGAGCTCTCGTGTTCTGATACTTTTATCAATGAATTAGTAGTTATATGTCTTAGTGCTTTTAATATCATTTTACCTACACTGAGTATCCTGAGTTCTTACATCTTCATCATTGTGAGCATCCTCAAGATTAAATCCACAGAAGGAAGGTCCAAAGCCTTCAACACCTGCAGTTCACACATATCAGCTGTTGCTGTCTTCTTTGGGTCTGCTGCATTCATGTACTTACAGCCATCATCAGTCAGCTCCATGGACCAAGGAAAGGTTTCATCTGTCTTTTATACTATTGTTGTTCCGATGCTGAACCCATTGATCTACAGCCTAAGAAATAAAGATGTCAAGCTTGCCCTGAGAAGTTTTTACCTTCTCAAAACGCCCTGAGATTTTTTTTTAAGTCTCTTTCAAGGATAAATTCACAATTCTTGGATTCTAGGCATTTACTTTTTATTTTGTGTGCTATTTCAGATAGCTGGCCATTGTTACTTTCTTTCTGATTTCTCTGGGACTTAAATCCTGTGTTTAGAAAACAATCCTTTGTGAATATGCTTACATTTTATGGATCTTCTGCAGTAGAAGTTTTTCAAATTGATTCTGTTCAGAAAGTCTTTGTTGTTCTTTCCCCATATTCTCTCCTTTTCCATGAACTCCTGTCTCCATACACATTAAAGCTGTTCTGTTTCATCATTCTGTTTCTTTACATATATCAACACCAAGTTATGTCTCCGCGCCTTTAAAAGTTCTTCCTCCTGTCATGCCAGCCTCACTGCATAAGTGCAGTTGGGAGGAACGTAAGAGCCAGCAGTGGTGCAGGACTATAGTCAGACACAATAGGACAAGACCTGCACAAGCTCAACAAGACAAATGCACAGCATGGAGGTGACAGATGGTCACCGAGTCCCACCACTGCCTCAGGAGCTGTTGGTGATTGATAGCTACTGGGAGAGGGAGAGTTAGCTTTCCTTAAGGCTGGTGATCTCTGGTATGTCTCATGTGCTCCAGTGAATGGCCACACACCTAAAACTATATAGGCAGTACAAATGAGACTGGTGTTTTATTTTATTTTATATGAGGGCACAAAGTTGGGTTAGTAAAGAATGTGGAGGTGTAGTGATATTTTGTTTGTAATCTAACAAATAATGCTTACCTGAAGATCAGAGTGCAGAGCTAAGTCACTAGTTAGACATAGAGGTCAGGCTGTGATGGCACACACCTTTAATGCCAGCACTTAGTAAATAAAGGCAGAAGGCAGGAGTCCAAGGCCACCTTATTCTACACTAGATTTATCCAGTCTCAAAGAGAAAAAGAGGCAGATGGTAGTGCCTCATACCTTTAACCCTAGAATCGGGAAGGTAAAGATGGGAAACGATATGGCTGGTCAAAGAGAGGCATATAATGCATGAGGAGATGAACTCAGATGCAGTCTGGACATTCCTAGAGACAGGATCGCCCCTTCAGTCCAAGCATTGGTAGTGGTAAGAACTCTAGTGGCTGGGCACTCTGCTTCTCTGATCTTTAGCATTAACTCCTATATCTGACTCTGTGTTTTTATTGTTAATACCAATTAGAATTTATGCTACAGGAAGAAAGATCTGGGTGAAGATGGAGTAAGTGGATGGAGGTGATCAAACACATTAAGTGCAATTTATAATTAATTAAAATACTCAACAAAAATACCAAAAAAAGCCCAGAGGTTTTATCTGTAAAACCTCTTATACTGTGCATAGTGATAGCAACAGATTTACGCATCATGAGCATTTAAACCTAATTACACCTCATCTGAAATCATCTATCTGATTACAGATGCAAAACATTGTAGACTTTGTGATCAGCATAAATCCCAGAGCATGGGGATGCTAATTCCAGGTCAGTTTATCTCATCCTATAAAACCAAATCTTCAGAAGTCGGAGGCTTTCTCCTGTACTAGTCATGTCTTCTCTTCACAACCAATTTCCTTACTATAGAAAGTTATCCATATATGTTTATCCATTCATATATGTGCATTTGTGCTATGTAATATATGTCTATACTAATTATAAAACCTATGTAGGCATGAATGTTTCATTTTATTGCTTGGATCTGCTTGCAAGGGTTATATATGTGTGTGTCTGTGTGTGTGGTGTATGCAATTTATATTTTCTAGCTATAGGCCCAAAATAACATCCAGCTTTTTCATATTCAGGGTACTGGATAAGATTATGTTATTGAATGTATGAATATTATGGAAAATATGTTTGAACTATCCTTTATACATTTAAGAAATGATAGGCAATAGAATATTTAAATATTGGAATTCTACCACAAACAGGGATACTAAATAGCCTCAAAGAGAATTACTAAAAAGAGAGAAAAATGCAAACGAATACAGGTAGAGGTGTGGCCTACCATTCCCAGGCAATGTTTTACTGGGACTGCCTATGACTCTTTCGACTTATTTCTGGCTAATGACCTTGTAATTCAAATGAATGATGTTCCTTGAGTCACTATTGGGGAACGGTACATCGCTAATGAATGTCATGTCTAACCTGTCCCACACAGATTTAAAAGCACAATGCAGTTTCCTCCTCACTGAAGTAGAATTTCTAACTGTGTTTTAAAACCTATTCTTACAGCCACAGATAAGCGCAGCTCCCAACTCTCACCAAAAAGTTTCTTCTTGCAATAGACAGAGACTATTGTCAGAGAAAATCCCAACTCACCACGATCCAGAGAACAGTTGCTCCTACAGAGACTCGATAATGCCTCCCTCTGAACCATATCTAATAAACATACTGAGATTCTTGTGTAGCTCATGCCACCATTAGAATGGTGAGAACCCACCTGACTTTTCTGACTGTGTGTCTGTCAAATCTTCATTCCAGTCTTAGGGTTTCCATTGCTGCGAGGAAACACCATGATCAAAAGCAACTTAAGGAAGGAAATTAACTTGAGTTTATTATATCATATCACAGTTAGTCACTGAAAACCATCAAGGCAAGAGCTCAAACAGGGAAGGAACTGGAGGCAGGAGTTGATTCAGGGACATGGAAGACTATGGTTTTCTGTGTTGTTCCTCAGGCTTGCTCAGGTTACTATCTTATAGAAGCCTGCACCAGCAGCCTAGGGATAGACTGCACTACCCATTATGGCCTGGGCATTCCTACATCAATCACTTTTCAAGAAATGCACGAAAGGCTTGCCTGTAGCCTAATATTTAAGAAAACAGTTCTCAATCAAGGTTTGTTTCTTCTTCCTCTTCCTCTTCTTCTTCTTCTTCTTCTTCTTCTTCTTCTTCTTCATCATCATCATCATCATCATTATTATTATTATTATTATTATTACAAATTTTCACCTCCTCCCCTTCTCCCATTCTCCCCCTCCTCCCATTCCCCCTCCTTCTCCCGCTCCAGTCCAAAGAGCAGTCAGGGTTCCCTGCCCTGTGGTAAGTTCAAGATTCTCCCCCACTCCATCTAGATCTAGGAAGGTGAGCATCCAAACAGACTAGGTTCCCAAAAAGCTAGTACACGGAGTAGAATCAAAACTCAGTGCCTTTGTCCTTGGCTTCTCAGTCAGCCCTCCATGTCAGCCACATTCAGAGAGTCCAGTTTGATCACATGCTCCATCATTCCCAGTCCAGCTGGCCTTGGTGAGTTCTCATTAGATCGGCCCCACTGTCACAGTGGATGGGAGCACCCCACGTGGCCCTGACTTTCTTGCTCATGTTCTCTCTTCTTCTGCTCCTCATTTGAACCTTGGGAACTCAGTCCAGTGCTCCAGTGTGGGTCTCTGTCTCTATCTCTATCCATCGCCAGATGAAGGTTCTATGGTGATATGCAAGGTATTAAGGTTTCTATCTCTCATATTACTCTAGCTTAAATAAGATAAACATAAAACTAGCCATGACTATTTTTTTTATATAAATGTCTTTTTTGCCACTCTTCTAAAAACTAACTGCAAAGAACTCTTCAGTCTCCTACCACAAAAACCATGCAGCAGAAACAAGCCTGTTTATGATCCTATCCCCAACATGTTACTTTAAAAGATAGCAATATGTTCTTTCATTTGTCACCTGGACAAGGAACAGCATTCCATTCTCTGTGAGAAGCTCATTCATCAAGGAGGGATGCCACCAAATACCAGGTAGAAAATAGTGTCTGTCCAAGGATTCCACCCAAATGCATTTCTCTCACAAAGTTGTGACCTTGGTTTCATGTTCTATGATCCTTCTCAACACATATAAACAGCCCACAGTGAGGAGTCGCACAATCCTACCTCAAATGGGCAAAGGTGGCCATATCATGATTACATTCTCAGACATCCCTGTTTCACAGATAAACCTTGGTTTCATGTCTCGATATCTTTTGGTCAACAGTATCAGGGGCAATACAGCAAATCACCCTTGGATCTGATGCTCCCTGTTTAGACACCAACTTTGTTGAGTATGTGACTTTTCCTTGGAAGATGAAACCAAATACTCCAAGTAGAGACCAAAAAATGCACTCCTCCCAAGTCTAATTAAGTACACCAGTGACTCGTTTGTGATTGCTTACAAGATATTCCCAAAGTGTTACTTGTAGGGTCATAAATAATACAAAGGTGGCTGAATCTCTAAAATGCCTACTACATAATTTAAAAAGATTCATGGATGTCAAATCTGTAGAGCACCATAGGATTTTCAGGTAGATTAATACTGTTGCTCTCAACATAGGAATCTAAAATGGCTGAAAGACACTTAAGGAGATGCTCAACCTCCTTAGTCATCAGAGAAATGCAAATCAAAACAACTCTGAGATTCTGTCTTACACTGATGACTACTTATGCTGGAGAGGTCGTGGGGTAAAGGGAACACTCCTGTATGGCTGGTGAGAATACAAGCTGGTATGGCCCTTTGGATGTCAGTGTGGTGATTTCTCAGAAAATGAGGAAACAATCTTCCTCAAGACCCAGTATACCACTTTTGAGTATATATCCAAAGGATGCTCAATCGTGCCACAAGGACATGTGCTCAACTATGTGCATAGCAGCATTGTTTGTCATAGCCAGAACCTGAAAACAACCTAAATGCCCCTCAATAGAAGAGTAGATAAGGAAAATGAGGTACATTTACACAATGGAGTACTACACAGCAGAAAAAAATAATGACATCTTATTTTTGCAGAAAAATGGATGGAGTGAGAAAACACTATTTTGAGTGAGATAACCCAGACCCAGAAAGACAATTATCACATGTACTCATTCATAAGTGGCTTTTAACATAAAGCAAAAAAAGAAGGAAAAAGAAAACCAGCTTACGAATCACAATACAAGAGAACTTATACAACAATGAGGACACTAAGAGAGACTTACATAGATCTAATCTACAAGGGAAGTAGGAAAAAAAACAAGATCTCCTGCATAAATTGGG